TTTTTTTTTTGTCATATCAATATTTTTGGCTATATCATTATTTTTATTCGTGTTAACTATGTTATCTTTTCACATATATTTAATATTTTGACATGTTATCATATTACCATAAATTAACAGGACATGTCACATGATTTTTAACGATCAAATTGGGGTCAAATTAGTAAGTAATAGAGACCAAATTAGAAATTTTTTTTAGTTTAGGGATTAAATCAAAAGTCGATACAATAATTGAGCAACCAAAAAAGAGGTTTAATCGAATATAAAAGATATCACCCTTCATTATGATGAAATAATATTTGTAACTATATATATAATTTAAAATTTTATCTAAATTGTACTTTTAAAATAGAATTATTATATTTTTTACATTAATTATTATTAAAAATATAAAAATTACCATTGATTTTATTAGTGTCATATGAATCATTTTAATTAGACATTTATTTAAATAAATATTAACTTTTATTTTTTCAATAGTAATTAATGAGAAAAGGGAATAATAATTACCCTCTTAACCTACACCTTAAAGATATAGGTTAGAAAAATTCATAATTTAATAGTAGTTTTTTTATTATAATTAAAAATTTTGTTTAAATTGTATAATATATAAGTGAAATAAGTTAAAAAATAAAAAAAATTACTTATTGTTATTGTATAATCTAAAATAATAAAAATAAAGTGTAGACTGATTTTTATTTTTTTATTTATTTTAAGAAATAATAAAGATTAAAATCCCATTTTGATCTATTAACTTCAATAAAAAACTATTTTTTAATCCCTTTATTTAAGAAAATTTTTTTTAATCCCTAAAATTTTTTATTTGACCCTTTTATTTCTTCCATTGTTTTTTTACACATATGGCATGTCATATCATAGAAATTTTAAAGTAGAAGGATAAAAAATAACTAAAAAAAGCCATTTTGGTCCTTTACTTTAATTTTTTTTTTTTAAAAGAACTCTTTTTGATCTCTTTATTTTAAATTTTCAATCATCTAACATATCATATGTATAAAAGATAATAAAATAGTTAAAAAGGAGATTGGATTCTAAATTTTAAAAACTAAAAAATAATTTTTTAAGTGAAAAGAACTAAAAAAAAACTTTTTGTTTAAATAAAATGATCAAAATAGAGTTTTAACTAATAATAAACATTCGGCTTTTTGGCAAAATACCGAATATACTTGGCATTTCTTAAAAAAAAAATTGATTTTTTTTTTTTAATTCAACTCAGGTCTCTAACCTCACCCAAAGCAATGGGAATATAATTTTTCTTCATTTGATTAACAACAAGAATTCTACTAGGGAAAAAGAGTTATTATTCCTTTTATGTGGCCAAAGCATAAAAATTCTTTAATGCGGTAGTATTGTAATTCATACGGTAAGAAAGGAATTTTGAAAGGGAGGTTCTTTGATTCTAGGGGCCTTTTTTACCATTCAAAGGTTACTTATATAAAATTTAGTTGGACTATAAAAATATAGAAGAGTGAGTATTAGTTTTTATTAAAAAA